CCCAAGATTTGACTTATTAAAGTAGACTTTAGAAGAAGTCTACCTGTTTGAATTTTTTTTATAGAGGTTAGTTTTGCAATTGACCAAAATTGACTTTTTATTAGTAAACGAAAACAAATGTCTACATACATGTTGACTTCACACAAAGTCTACCCACAAATACGAGGGTTAGTTTTGCTGTTGACCAAAATAAAATAGTAAACTTCATGTGATGTTTATCGCTTTTTTTTTGAATTTGTATACTGTAATTAAAGTCTACACTTTTTTTTCTTTTTGGTCAACTTTTTAACATTTTAGTCAAATACAAAACTAACCTATTCAACGGAATCAAATTTGGGTCAAATACAAAACATACTTTTTTGTATACCTCTCTAGAAGACTACAGTATGTAGATTTCCTACGAAGTCTACATTGAAAAGTCAAAAGGTTGGTCAAATCTAAAACTAACCTCTTTTACGTAGACGTCTTTGTAAGTCTACCTCATTTTTTGTTTTTGTTATCAAAGGTAATGACGTAGACTTCCAGAGAAGTCTAATTTGCATAAACAATTATTCTGGTCAATTGCAAAACTAACATGTGCGTTGACAAGTAGACTTCATCATAAGCCTACACTTAAGCGTAGACATACGATAATCCCGACACAGATCTGAAAAATGACGAAAACCATGTAAATAGGTACCTTTTTCCGGTGAAAAGCTTGTTTCCACCCTTTTCCACCGTCCAAGCTCCAGATATGAAGAAAAAGAAGCAGCTTAGATGACCAACGACAGAGTAACTCGAAATAATGAAGTTATGTTTATGAAAATGAAAGTTATGAGAGTTTTTTAGATGAAAATAGAGAGGAAATGAGAGGAAGTGAAGATTTCTTGGTTTAGAATGAGAAAAAAGTGGTTGAAATTGAATTTGAGAGGTTTAAAGAGCTTAAACATAGTGGTTCATGGTGGCTGAAAATTGATGACGATGACATTGTTGTAAATAAGAAGAAAAGATTAGGGTGTAATTGGTTTTTACTAATTTTCAAAATAATAAAGAAAAATAATAATAATGGCTATTCTGTAAATATTTCAAAAACATAATGATGGTTTGAAAATTTCATGAGTGAATAGTAATGACAAAAAGGGGTTAGTTTTGCAATTGACTTCAAATTGTAGGTTGGTTTTGCTAAACTCCCAAATTTTTTTTTGATTAAGTATACACACTAAGTTACAGAACATAACCAGCTTATATAGGTAGATTACAAACATCCAAATTTAATAGAAAAACACTTAACTTAAGATATGAATTAATAAAAATACGTAAACCATTTTTAATTTAAATCACCTTTTGCTAATAAATCCACAAGATCCATATCATGTATGGTTATTCGATTGTTTCGTAGAAACTATGAGCCTGAGATTAATATGTAGTGTACAAAATAAATAAGATAAAAATAATCACTGTTAATTCGTGATGTGTGAAAAATAAGAATAGTAATTATTATGTTGACACTATGTTGAATGTATCATTCTAATTCCTAAAATGAATAGTATAATAAAAATATAAAAAATTTGTAAAACAATTATGAACATTAATGCTATTTTTAGTTAATTAATTTAAGGATTTCAAATATTATTTTATTTATATGTCCCGCCCGTAGGGCGGGTTTACCCTAGTATATATATATACTAGGGCGGCCGGGGCGTTGAAATTTTAAATATATATGTTGTATGTTATTTTGATATGTAGATATTATAATCTATTATAAAATATAAGTAGTTAGACAATTATATAATTACTTTTAATTAGCATTTTTTCTTCGGAATTTTAAAAATTTTAATATCCACATTTTGCATGCCATAGATTATCAGTATGTGTTTTGCATATAAGTGTTTTGTATTGTGGCTCGTCTCGACTTTTGTTTCTTTATTTGTTGTGTGTTATTATTTTATTTTCATTTTTTTTGTAAAATATTGTTTGGTTATTTATTACTCATTGTTTACTATTTGAATCTTTTTGATAATTATTCTAAATTTGATCTTATTTACCTAAAATGGAAAGAAAATTTAGTGTGTGAATCTTTGTTCTCTTAGGTTTGATGAAACGCAAAGGAAAACAATGTGATAATAGATTTTTTGTCTTTCCAAACTTATAGATTTTTTATTTATTTTTGAATATGTTTAAGTTTTCTGTAACTTTTACTTAACTACTAAATATTTATTAATTTTTTCACTAAACACAGGAAAAAAAATTCATTAAACTCAAGTTATATTCCATATCATAATAAAATTTTAATTAGTATATTTTAATATATTATTATTTCTTGGCTTTTAATTTATTTTCATTATGTATTAATTGTTAATTTTTTTATTTCATTTTGTATTCTCGGTTAACCTTAAATTTGGTAGTAAAATGGAACCAAAAATATGTGAGATTCAAATATTTTTATTTTCGTTGGTATAAATCTAATGAAATGTATAAAGATTACTAGCATAAATTGGTTTATTCTCTTTCTCATGAATTTTATTTATTATAATCATAAATTTATTTATTTTAATTATATTATATATTTTAACTAAATGATTATTTTTATTATAATTATAATAATTTTATCTATTATAATTATAATTTTTTTTGTTTTAATTATATTATATTATTTCACTAAATGATTATTTTTGAAAAAAGATTAATGTCAATTTTTTAGTTTCCTTAAAATAAAATATTTATTATAATGATTTAGAAGTTATTAAATTGTTTGAAAGTTTCGGTGGCTGTATTTAGGGTTAACTTAATGTTTGTTTGGAACCTGTTACACGGATCAGTGTGATACAGTTGTGTATTTTTGCAAGTTCTATTCTTCAGCCTATGGTATTATGTGCTAATTTTCCTTCAACTTATTCTTAAAAACTATCAATCAAGTGGAAAGATAGTTACTCTTATTTACTTTTTTATTATTGTTTCAAAAGAGATAAATGCACACTCATCGTTGTACTAGATATAGTGAACATAATAATATTTTCTCATTTTCCTTCTCTTTTCTATTTTATTTATTCTGATTCTATTTGATCGGAAAAATTTGTGAGATCTCAACGGCCACTGAAGTGGTGTTATTAGGTGAAAGATTCTAAGGCAGGATGCTATTAGGCTAATGACATATGATTTTTCCAAGTTATACGTCTGATATTCAGGTTTATTTTATCTTCATCTTTTGTGTATTCATTTCTAGATAATTGATTGTTATTTAGTGTTTACTTTGTCTATAATAATTTGAATGGCATGTTCACTTAAACATTTCACCATCTCTATCAAAATTTTATGTCTGTTTATATTTTAGACATTTTTATTTCGATTTACTGTTAAACATATTTTGCAATATTATAGTATTTTAGTATTATAATATTTTATGTTTTTTTTGTTTTCATAAAAACACATAGTTATTTTTATGTGTTCGATTATTTTTTATATGCAGTAATTGATATAAGTTCAGTGTGTATACAATATCATTTTAACAACAACATACAATATAATTTATGTGGAATCTTTGTATTTGTTTGATGTGATTATTCCTTTTGATTTAGTTTATATTCTGATTTTTTTTCTGTATATTTAATGCATATTATTTCCTAATATGCTACAGTTAAAAATTTAGTGATACACACACATAAAAATACCTATATTCAAATTTAGTCAACATCTGATTTTTTTCTTAATTTATTGAAAATAAGAAGAACATTAAATTTCACTATTTATATTTTTATTTTATTATATAAGTAATTTCTAACATTTGTCAATGTTGATAAAATAAGATATCTAAGAATATAAATTATGGATTATTTTCAGTTAATTTATGTGTGAATCTTTGTATTTGTTTGATGTGTTTATTCGTTTTGATTTAGTTTGTATTCTTATTTTTTTTCCTGTATATTTAATGCATATTAATTCATATTGTGCTACAATTAAAAGTCTAGTCCTACACACACACACACATAAAGTTATATATATATATATATATATTCAAATTTAGTGAGTATCTGATTTTTCTTAATTTATTGAAAATAAGAATAACATTAAATTTCATTATTTTTCTTTTGTTAATTTATTAATAACATTAAATTTCACTATTTAAATTTTGTTATTGTATTATATAAGTAATTTATAACATTTGACAATAATGATAAAATAAAATATCTAAGAATATAAATTATGGATTATTTTCAACCTTATTCATTTTTTTGAATCCATGGATACTATGATTTTTTTAATATATTTTTTTATCTCAAAATAAAAACATTCATACTTCTTAAAAGAAATTTGATAAATGCATTCACATAAAGTAAACCTTTGTTAATATTAAACATTAGTTTTTTATGTAAGAATAATTTTACATGCCATATATCACTTTCTGCTCATTCTATTTAGTGACATGATATTATGATGAGAGAGAAAACTTAACTTTATATAATAAGATAAGGTACTCCTTTTCTCCAATTATAGAAGATAAATTGCTAAAACCATATTTATTTTCGGTTTGCTCGAAGAACTTTATTTCATAATTGAAAATTTTATGTTATATATGATTACATCATAGCTGCTGTTGATCAGCGAAAAATTAATGTTATATATGATTATATTATGTTAATGTGAATTATTTAACTGATCTTTTTTTTAGAAAAACACTGATTGAAAAGAGCTGATAATTAAATAAGTAGTAGATAAATGAATATGGTTAATAATATTAATTAAACCGCTCATTAAATATGGAAAAAAAAATTTCAAGGGATTAGTTAAAAGAAAGGATGAAATTCAACTACATTCATCACAAAAACGCCAATCAATGTCCAAAAAATAAACGCATACAAATGGGGCATGGCGTTTTGTTAGAAAATGCAAACACAAAGCGGATCCAAACGCAAACCAAACCTGAAAAAACTAGAAAGTAGTAGTGGACACAGTGGTGTTGGGTCATAAATGGGCCATGGCGTTTAATGTTTAATAGAGTGGGAGCTGTTCCTCATTCTAATAAACCCTAACTAAAACTGTAACTAACTCGAGTTGTCGGAGATGGAAGTGGAATCGCAAAATCGTCAAGTTTCTTCAGATTCTTATTCGGCTCAGAGATTTGGGCTGAAGAACTCAATACCGACCAACTTCGGCTCTGACTACGTCTTCCAGATTGTACCAAAGTACGCAAATCTCCGCTTATTCATTCCTCTTTTTATCATATCCGAAACCCTAAACCAAACTGAGAGATCCTTTTTTACTTTTGTGTGTGTGTGACAGAGTCGATTGGACAGCAATCGCGGTGTCCTTGTCGACCAACACCATTAAGCTATACTCGCCGGTGACAGCTCAATACTACGGGGAATTTAAAGGACACTCCGATACAGTCAATCAAATTGCGTTCTCCTCGGAATCTCCTCACCTTCTTCACTCTTGCTCCTCCGATGGTACCTTCAGATCTTGGGACAACCGTTCTTTCCAGCAGGTTCTTTCTTTGATCATATCATATCACTAGTAAATTCGCTTCCTTTTTTTTATTTGTGTAAATTCATGCTTTGGGTATTTCAGGTAGCGTGTATTGCTGCTGATAATGATCAAGAGATTTTTAGCTTCTCCTTTGGAGGTTCTGGAGATCATCTTCTCGCTGGCGGATGCAAAGAGCAGGTTCTTTTTACCTCCTCTTAATATATATCCTAAAAAGGAGTACACCCCCTGGCTTGTTTACAGTCGATTGGGTGCAGGTTTGTCTTTGGGACTGGAGAAACTCTAAGCAAATTGCTTGTTTAGAGGAATCCCACATGGACGATGTCACTCAGGTCTGTGTCTCTCTCTTCTCTCAAGTCTTTTGCCTCATCTCTGGACACTAGTTTGTTTGTTAATTATATTTGCGTGTGTCTGTTCCCAGGTACACTTTGTTCCCAACAATCGGAACAAACTTGTTTCGGCCTCTGTCGACGGTTTGATATGTCTCTTTAACACTGAAGGTGATATCAACGAAGATGACCACCTCGATTCTGTAAGTGTTTCAGGTTTAAAAGTGTTAATTCTTTTTCCAAGGATACATGAGCGAGCCCTTCCCCTTCTCTTTGTTTTGTTTAGGTGATCAACGTGGGAACCTCAGTTGGCAAGATAGGTTTCTTTGGAGATTGCTTTCAAAAGCTCTGGTGTCTCACTCACATTGAAACTCTTAGGTACCTACTTCTTTCCCTCACTCATCTCCTTCATTTTTTTCTCTCCTTAATTGACCTGTCTCTTTTCTAGCATTTGGAATTGGCAAGATGGACGCTGTGAAGTCAACCTAGAGAAAGCTCGGGAGCTCGCTTCTGATAGTTGGAGTCAAGATAATGTCAAAACTCTCATTCCTTCCATTCTAACCAAACATTAAAACACTTGAGAGAGAGAGAGAGAGGGAGAGAGAGAGAGAGAGAAACCTAATCGTTCTCATTTCCCTTTTTTTTTGCAGGTTGACTATTTTGTTGATTGCCATTGCCCAGGAGGTGAAGACTTGTGGGTGATAGGTGGAACCTGCGCAGGTACTATCGGTTATTTTCCGGTGAACTATAAATCCCCTGGATCAATTGGCTCTGCTGAAGCTATTCTTGGTGGAGGCCACATAGATGTCGTGAGGAGCGTTCTGCAGATGCCAAGCGAGTATGGTGGAGCTGCAGGGTTATTCGGATGGACGGGGGGTGAAGATGGACGGTTATGTTGCTGGAAGCCCGAAGAGAATTCTGCTGGGAACAACCGGTCTTGGACTTCAAGCGGATTGGTCGCTAAGCCGTTAAGGAATCGCCACAGACACTCACCTTACTGATAAAATGGAACATTGTCGTGTCTTTATGTAAGAGTAAAAGACAGTTGATTGAGCTTGATATGTCTCTTACCCTCTCTTTTTTTTTGTATTGGAAAGGCAATTTCTCTAAATTAAAGTTTGAAAGATCTCATCTTGAAATGATAGTAGCCATGGCTTTAAAGTTCAAGTAAGATCACAGCGACATCTTTATTTATAATATATATCACAAAACACTCGTAAAAACACTTAATTACGACTCTACAACAAACATGGAATCCCAGAAGACCATTGTCTTTCTCAGGCGATTGCGAGCTTTACATTCACGGCAGCAACAAACGCAGCAAAAGCCAAACACAGCTTTACCAGATTACCAGCGACCGGGCTGATCTCATTAAAGGCCTTGTAGCATCCGAACAAGGCTGCAGATTGACCCAACCACACCACTAGTCCGGCTAATCCTGACCCGACCAGGAACGTAGCCGGACCCCAAACTAAACAAAGTATAAACTGAGCCAAGTAAAGATACAGAGCATTGGGCTTCTTATGGAATCCACCGTCGACCCATACGAGCCACGCAGCCAATCCCATCAGACCGCTCGACAAGAGACGAGTGGCGTGTAGGACCCACGGAGGTGGGATCCACGACGAGGACCGAGTACGATTGCCGCGGCCGCCGCCAAGGAAATACGTCTCGAAGAGCATCACGAGCACAGGAGCCGCTACGGCTACCGTAAGCGATTTAAGGCCGCGTTTGGCCATGGCCCTCTTTTGATCGCGTATGCCTTTGTTGTTGTCATCAGCGTGTTTCCTGTCAGTCTCGGCCATAGCGGTGGTAGCAGCGTCTCTGTCATCTCCGCCACGGTACCTGATGTCCTGTGAATCCATTACAACGTCCAACGCAGGATATTATGATGCAAGATGGGAGGGATTGAGCAAATGAGAAGAGAAGAAGCAGCTTGGTCAGAGAATAATCAGGAACTGAACTTTATAGAAACAAGGCAAGAGTCCAGGCTCTGGTGCTAGAGAGACAAGTGTCGAACCGTTGGAAGAGATGCGTTACACGTGGAACGAAATTGTTTTTGTTTTTGGATATGAATCGACTTTCTGAAAGAAAAGGACTGGACACGTGCTTTTTATATGCTCATGTCTGGTGGCATACACAGCGTTTGGACGATTACGATATGCTTTTATATCAGCTTAATTAATATGTACAGTATGTATTTTCGCAGTCGTGGGAGCGAGCGGAGAAGACAAGACACCGACTAAAACATTTGGGCTTTTCTATGGGCTTAAAATAAATTAAGTAGTATGTATTTTCGCAGTCGTGGGAGCGAGCGGAGAAGACAAGACACCGACTAAAACATTTGGGCTTTTCTATGGGCTTAAAATAAATTAAGTGTACTCTCATAAGTGTACTCTCATATGATCTCATAACGGGTATCTATTGACATTCCCATTAGGCAGGCATTAGAATTAACACTTAGCTTTTTAGCTAATTGGTGATTTTTTACTTCTTTTCTTCAGATACAATGTGTTGTTTCCTTTCAGGAAATAAAAAGGAAATAAAACAAGGGAAGTTAACGCAATTAGTATGAATTTTATTACTTATTATCATAACTATACAAAACTTTTTATTATTACTATTTTTTTTCTAAAACCCAGCGTTCCTTTTTTTTTTTACGTTGTGAGAAAAAACATATTTACAAGAATGCCATTACTTTTTTGTGCCACGTAGGCAAAAAATCGGTTCCACATAAGAATGCGGCATAAAACTCAGCCGCAATACGATATGAACTTCGTTACGGCCGAGATATAGGTGCGTTGCGGCTGACTTAAATAATCTAGCTGGCTTATGAGAATTAAGCTGAGTTATGAACATAACTCAGTCGAACGTTACGGCTGACTTAAAAAAATCTGGCTGGTTTATGTGATAACGGCTGAGTTACGGTCATAAATTACGACTGACTTATACATCCTTAGGCTGGTTTCTGGAAAATCCGGCTGAGTTTTAGTTACCATACGGCTGAGTTAACTATCGCGTCTGGTTAATTGATCGTCAACCGGCCGAGTTATGAGATGTTTTTACAGCTGACTTATATTTAATCAGCCGTAGGAAAGTGGAGTAATAGTAAACTCAGCTGATTTACGGCTGAATTTTTAGCGAAATATTAATTACTAGAATAACATTCATTTGCCGGCTGGTTTATTTAACGATACAGCTGACTTCTTGCGTTTCATCTTTGTTATGGCTGATTGTTAACAAAAAGTTAATTACTAAAATAGTATTCACATTTTGACTGACTTACGGTGTATTAAGTGGCTGACTTATTGTGGCTGACTTAAATGTTCGTTTGGTGGCTGAATTACTGATTTTCCATGTCATCATCCATGTCAGCTTTTATTTTCCATGTCATTACTAACTACAAAAACGAAATTATGGTTTATGTTACCGACGCCGCTATCTGTTCTTCACCTTCTTCTCTTTCTCTAAAATATTATGGATCCAGTAATTATTGTTTCAGGTAACTGGATTAAGAAAAACAGATATGTATTCACACCCGACAGTAGAGGATGTATTATTCTGCATGCAGATGAGAAAACAACACACGACGAACTCGCAAAGTCAGTACTCGATGATTACGGATTGAATGAGTTGAGCCATCAGATTCAACTAAGCTACCAATTTTCGAATAAAGCTTTGAAAACAATGGCTCACGACACGCCACCAGTTTACATCTCCAATACTCGTCAATTGCAAATATTTTTAAGGCTAAGGAAAACCGAAAAATTACGTCTCTGTGTAGAGATTACAGAGAACGAGGATGATGAGATCAGCCGGAAAGACGGAGCGGAAGAGAAGAGTAATATATTATACAGTTTCAGCTCAGAAGCAGAAGTCTCAGAAGTTGAATCAAGATACGATGGTTTTAGTTTGGAGGAGGAACAGAACGACAATGAGAATATCTTGGACGGAGAAAAACAGAAAAATGTTGGAGAATATGAAGAAGGCGAAGAAGACAGTGAATTTGATAGCCGATTTGATATGTTCGACGACTCAGATGATGCGTCATCCGAAGATGATAACTTTAGCTCATATGGTGAGTCTCCAGCACAAGACGAAGATTCACCGCCACTACCGCCTAAAAAGAGATCTCAGTCGACTGAAACTTCTTACAATTGGACCGGATCTAAGGGGGATTCAGAGGTTCTAAGGTTGGAGATGTCTTCGCTAAACCTTGTTGTTGGGCAACGATACCAGAGTAAAGCTGAGTTGGAAAGACGACTGAAACTTCTTACAGTGAGAGATCAATTTGATTTCGATGTGGAAGTATCCAATCCATATTTACTCATTGTTAAATGTTGGGTTGGTGGATGTCTCTGGAGAGTTTGTGCTTCAACAAAAGAGAATTCCCCGACATTCTATGTTCATATTTACGATTCCGAAAATACATGTTCTGTAACTGAGCATTCTAATCGATCTCGACAAGAAACACCATATATTTTAGGATAATTGTACAGAAACTTTCTCGGCGACGTTGGTCCGGCCGTTCGACCTACGAGTGTGGGAATAGCTCTCAATAAACAGTTTGGTCTCAAGGTAATTGTTGTAGTAAGGCTGACTGAGTAATATCTACACTTTGTGGCTGACTTATATTAACGTCCGGCTGTGCTAGTTAAGTGATAGGCTGAGTTATATAAACATCGAACGATGCGGCTGAGTTAGTTGAATTATCTGGCTGGTTTATTTAAACTTCAACGTTTCGGCTGAGTTAGTTAAGTATATGGGCTGGGTTATGTATACGTTACGGCTGAGTTGTTTAAGTTATCCGACTGAGTTATTTATACGTTCAACCTGAGTTACTTAAGTGATTTGGCTGAGTTATTATTTGTATTCATTTGGGCAGATGGATTATTGGAAATCATATAAGACTCTGAAATTTGCTAGGGAAATCGATATGGGAACACCTGAGAGTGGTTTTGAAAACTTGCCTTCTTACTTATTTATGATTAGAAGAGCAAATCCTGATACAATAACTCGTCTTCAAATCGATGAGTTCGGAAGATTCTTGTATGTGTTCCTTGCGTTTGGCGCGAGCATAAATGAGTTTCCTTTCATGCGCAAAGTTGTGGTTGTCGATGGTACGTTTCTTAATGGCAAATACAAAGGGACACTTCTAACAGCACAGCCCAGGATGGAAACTTTCAGATTTTTCCAATCGCCTTCGGTGTGGTTGATACAGAAAATGACGATTCGTGGAACTGGTTTTTTATGCAACTAAAAGTTTTGATTCCTGATGACAAGGGTCTTGCGATAATCTCAGATAGGCATAACTCGATTGGGAAGGCTATTCGAAATGTGTATCCGTTGGCTTCTCGAGGAATTTGCACGTACCATTTATATAAGAACATTTTGGGACGGTACAAAGTGAAAGATGTATTTCGTCTGGTGAAGAAAGCGGCAAGATGTTTCAGGATGCCTGACTTTAATGCAATGTTCGAGGAGATTGAAGCTATTAATCCTGACCTTCATGGGTACCTCCAAAGAGCCGATGTCAAAATGTGGGTGCGTGTTCATTTCCCAGGCGAAAGGTACAATTTGATAACTACGAACATAGCGGAATCAATGAATAGAGCATTATCAAATGCTAGAGGTCTTAACATTGTCCGACTACTAGAATCGATACGGGTTATGATGACCAGATGGTTTGCTGAACGGAGAGAGGATGCTGAATCGCAGCGAACCATGCTTACACGTGCTGTAGAGAAACTACTACTTGTAAGTCAGTCGTACTTATTAAATAAGTCAGCCGTTTCATTTAGTAAGTCAGCCTAAGTAGATATCATAACTCAGCCGTATTTATGATAAGTCATCCTAAATAGATTTCATAAGTAAGCGGTATCAATGATAAGTCAGCCTAAATAGATGACATAAGTCAGCCTTATATTTTAGTAAGTCAGCGTAAGTAGATTTCATAACTCAGTCTCTTATGTTTTTCATTGTTCATTTTTTATTTATAATAGGGTCGTGTTACTACCGCGAGACTGTTGACTGTACAAAGAATCGATACTCATCACACTGAAGTTACATATGGTGAGTCTTTGCATGTTGTTAACTTGGAAAGGAGAAAGTGCACATGCCGGCGTTTCCAGCTGGAGAGATTACTGTGTTTGCATGAAATTGCAGCTGCAGAGTCCAGGAATGTTTGTCGTATATCCCTGTGCAGTCCTTACTATACCAGCGCTTATCTGGTGAGCGCATACGCCAATTCAGTCATGCCGGTTGGTTCAGCACTACCAGTTCCAGATAACGTGGTTAACCTAGCATGCTTTCCCCCGTCTATTCGTCTTCAGCCAGGAAGGCCTAAGAAAAATAGGATGAAATCTGCTTTAGAGGTTTCACTTGAAAACAAACGTCCTAGGAAAGAACACACGTGTTCTCGTTGTAGACAGAGTGGACATAATGTGAAAACTTGTCCGATTTAAAAGTGTTGTATTGATATGTAGACTATGTTGTATTACAGCTGAGTTATTGATTTTTATGTTTCTAGTTATGGCTGAGTTATTGACATGCTAGGACTGAGTTATAGTTCTACTACGGCTGAGTTATAGTCTACTGCGGCTGAGTTAAATAAAAGTGTAAGTTTAATAAATAAAAGGCTGAGTTAGAGTATACCGTGGCCCAATTAAATAAAAGGCTGAGTTATTAATATATTGTGGCTGAGTTAAATAAAAGTGTAAGTTTAATAAATAAAAGGCTGAGTTAGAGTATACCGTGGCTCAGTTAAATAAAAGGCTGAGTATTAATATATTGTGGCTGAGTTAATTAAAAGGCTACGCTAAGTAAAAGGCTGAGTTAAATAAAAGGCTTAGTTAATAATTTATTGCGGTTGAGTTAATAATATTACAGCGGCTGAGTTACATAAACGCTACGGCTGACTTC